GTTAAAAAAGAACCTTCAACTCATGTATGATAGTCCAGGGTTTGTAAAGAAAACTCACCACACTGCAGGCTGGTATCAGAAAGTGGATCACAATACGAGGTATCCCAGTAGTTCACCTCCCATTTAACCAAGTCCCCTTCTGAGCAATTCAGTGATGTCACTTCCTGTTTGCTGCGTTCTCGCCCCCATATCCGAAACAAGGACAATTTGCCCACAAAGCTGCTATACTGAAGGATTTGAATGTTCCCGTCCATGAGGGTGTGTCCTGCACCCAGCGTGAGCGATCCATTAGGGGACAGTTTGCAGCGCAGGGGGTTCAACAAAGGTTGGTTGGTATTGTATGCTAGGAGGGGGGGGGGGGGGGGGGGGGACAAAGAAGAGATTTAATACATCAATAATTGATTCATAAAACATCAAAACCAACCCGAGATGATAATCTAGGACTAAAATTGGCAACAGTGTATAGATACAAATGTGAGAACTAAGAAATCCATTCATTCAGTTTCTGTCCAGGTCATGGTGCCTATCAGCAGTCTCTTTGTGAGAGGGGGGTGCACCCTGGACAGTCACAAGTCCATCACATGGACACACACAGGCAACCCCTCACAGTGTTGAAGTGAAACTCACCTGTTGTTACATTAACTGAGAGTCCATTGATGTACAGGGCAGGTTTCTCACTTTGATGAGACCAGGTAAGACACAGTGAGTACCACTGGAACGGCTTAAGGTCCATCGGTGGAGTAGTCCACTCTACACCAAACAGCCAAACCACTAAACACCCGTGTTTTCCCCCCAAACCAAGCTCAGCGTACTGAGCCTCCGGATGACGGTACATAAAAATTGTCCATGGTGGGGAACTCGGGACCTAGAAATGAGGTTTTAAACCGTGCAGTTACAGTTTGTTTCATAACTGGATAAGATCTAGAAGGAGTAAGTTTCTTTTAAATACCTCGAGCTTTGCGTACAAGCAGACGGTGAACTGTTGCAGAGCAGGAATGGAGACGTGGGGCTTTAGTCTCCAGTGGCTGAATCCTGATCTGAAGTTGGCCACCTTTCCCCACAGACTGACCCAAGGCACTGACACAAATATATTGTTAAAAGGTTGTTTTCACAGCAAGAAAATAACATTTCTTGGGAGTCTAATCCCTGTTTCCAGGTTTAAAAAGGCCTAAAACTGAACATCTGGTACAGAAGTTTAATATCAACAAGTCACAGTTTTTCAGATATTTGCAGCTGAGGCATTTTGTGATATCTAACTCTCGACTGTTTTCCTTTGTTCCCCTCTAAACATTTTGTGGCTATGATCTTGGAATGCAGGTCTAATACTAAGGGGGCCTTCATCAAGCTCTATACACTACTCCGTTCATACCATGAGACCAGTTTGGACTCTAACTGAAATGGGAAACAGACATGGAGGAATCCATATCAGACTCAATCTGGAGAAGGATCATTAAGAGCATTTATTCATCCTCAGTTTGTCTGAGACACGTAATTCAATTCAAGGTTGGTGCACAGGCTGCACTGGTCCAAAGACAAGTTGTCCAAGATCAAAGCCGACCTGAACCCCGCATGTAATTGTTGTAAACCAACTCCAGTTACATTCTCTGTACTTGTCCCAAACTTTATGGCAGTCTATTTCTGACACCTTCTCTCAAATACGATATGTGGTAAAACTGTACACCCATCACCTCATCTCACTGTTCGGGGTGGTCCCTGTGGATACGTCCTTCAACAAGTACGAGAAGGATGCGATTGCTTTCGGCTCTCTTCTGGCCAGAAAACTTGTTTTATGCAGTTGGAAGGACCCACACACCCCAGTATATGTATGTACATTGGATAAGAGAGGTGATGTATCATATTCATCTAGAAAAAAATTTAAATACGCTGAAGGGTTCTGTTAAAAGATTTTGGGACGGTTGGCGGCCTTTTGTATTGTATGTGGAAAGCATGTCGATGCTTGTTTAATTTGTTTGTGCATGCGTGACTGATGCGGTGTGGGCGGGGGGGTTTGTACTTCGTGTTTTCTATTTGTATATTAAACTCAAAAATCAATAAAAACGGCATAAAATGATTTTTGGTAGAATATTTTTACCCAAAGAGAAATTTCTGCTCTTAAAGAAGCAACCACTTCAGTAACTGAGGTTTCATTTGATTGTTTTCATGTCCTACTTGTTACTCCTTTGTTTTGTTTAGCTTACATGCCAATCCGCTAGGGGGCGCTATCAGGCCAGTAGCACATGTTAATGGGTTTTGCACACTTTTTTTTTTTGGTGTAGTTTCATTGCACTCTTCCACGTCTGTTGTATCATCGGTTATTTTAACACTCAGCTTTGTGCGGACAGTCTTTAACCCAGTGAAAAGTACTTTGGCACACTGTGTATTTTGATCGCCGTCCGTACTTATCCAGCGGGTTTGTACGGGGCTGTGGAGTTTTCTAACGAGTACTTTGCCACCATTGCCTTTTTGCCACCATTGCTCTGTTGCAAACACAAACTCCTGGTTAATATTTTCTGCTGCTGCACTCTTCTTTTTCTTTTTTTTTTTTGCCAAATATTCTCTTCAAAGCAGACTTCACTGAAGCAAATGTTACATCTGAACATGCCGTTAGAGCCACCCGTCTGTCCGTCATATCCAAACACGCAGTGTCCAAAAGCTTCGAAGCCAAAACAGCATCGGGTAGCTCCATGTTGTGTTTTTTCATGTGCGAGTAGCGCTGCTCGAAATCAATAATATAGTCCGCCATCGACGTGTTCGCTTCTTTTATGACCCGGTCAAAATCTGAATATGCTTCATAGCCCCTGTCCTTTTCCTCTGTTAGGAACAAATCATCTAGTTTATCAAACAATGTGGTTGTTCCAGTGTCTTTATTTAGATCGTCTACTGGAGTTTCCATCGCCGTGTCTCGCGCCCTTCCAGACAGCGCCAGAGCGACAGCAAGCGCTTGCTTTTTCTTCTCCAAATCTGTTAACTCTCGTCCAAATGTCGACTTCATTCTTCCAACGTTCGTAAGGCTTTCCTTCTTCAAATGTTGGTGCAACTCTGTAGTTACTAACCATCCTCTGCTACCAATGTTAGTCTATGAAAATAACTTCTCCATTGGTGGTGTCTGAGATGAGCATGGCGGAATAAAGTTTTATCAGATCCAAAAGGAGAAGTTATTTTTATTGACTAACACTACTGTTCCCTGAATCGTTTTTAATTTGATTCATTAGCCAGTTTTAAACTTAACAGGACTAACTTATAATACAAATCTCATGTTTTGTTAGACTCAACTTGAGGACAAAGTTGACAAGAGAACGATCATCCAGCCCCAATCTGATGCCAAGCTGTTCACATACAAATTGCGGATAATTGTACTGTATTTAAATTTTAATAAATCAGGTAACTTGAATTTGTTTATAATTTATAGGAAAATGCTTTTACATGTGGGGGTTAAAGGAGCTGTGTGAGCTCTGGGGTTCTGAAGCTCTTTTTTTTTTTAATAATTAAAACCTTTGACCAAACTCTGTGGTTCAGTTTTGAGCATCACTGCTGGTACTGTTCACTCCGTTTTAAATCCAGAATACTGACATTAGACTGTTACAAGTTATTTACAGTTTTACTTGTCAACTATAAAGTTATATTTGGACAAAATATTCACGTCACATCAGCACTTCACAGCTGGCAGTTTTTTTTTTTCTTTTTCAGTCATGATTCCTGTTTGAAATAATTAAATTAGTTTGTTTTGACACAATTCCAACAAGACTCACCATGTTTTGCTGCCAAAAGACAAAACTGAATCTTTTTGTTAGTTTTTAGGAAACAAACTTGTAACATGTCAACATTAAAAAAAAACGAACCAGTTGCTTGGAGCATAAATGACTGATCATGTCTTCCCATTTTACAGCTTTTTTAGTGACTGATGTTTGTTTTAGATATTTTTGACATTTTTATAATCGACACTGGAACTTTCTCACGCAGCTGAGCCCTGCAGGTTGTGATCTTAAAGGCAATCAATTTAAAGGGTAAACAGTTCACGGTGGACGTGATAATGTTACAAAACGCCTTTTTTTTCATGTTTACTGAAAATATGCAGTAATATCTATATATAAAATTGTGGCATCTTAGATTTTTTTTTATATATATTTCCTACCTCGCTCCTCAGCAGAAAGTGGGATGGTCAGCAAGGACAGAGACACGAACACTTGCAAGAATTTTTTTAAGAAAATCATCACAAATCTGAAAAAGAACACATTCTCCAGTTAGAATTTTTTTTATTTAATTTATGCATTACCTGTATAAAACTCCTGATCTTACACAGAAACCTTAGAAACATTTAACACAATGTTAGTTTGAGCAGCTAGATTAACACCATGTGTCCAGTTTTATAAATGAAGAAGCACTTACCTTTAAAGAGAGGAAACAGAGAAAGAATCCTGAAGGTAAATGCGTCTCCAGAGCTCAGGAGCAGCGACTGTGAAGTGGCGTCTGCCTGCGATTGGTCCGATTGCGTAACTTTATGTGCAGAGAACACGAGACGGGAAGAGCACGTGCAAATAATGCATTTCATGCAGGCAATATGTTTGAGTTCAAAGATATTTACCGCCACAAAAAGACATAAAATGCGTAATTAGTTCTGCCAAACGTGGACGGTTTTCTGCAAACATGGTCTGCACATATTGTTGTATCACTGCTTAAGGTCTCACAGACCAGTTGAAACTCATGTCACTGTAGATCAGGGATATCCAACTGGTGGACCAGGGGCCAAATGAGGCCCACGGGTGAGCTCAGTTTGGCCCATTCATTATTTTAAATAAAAATATATATTTTAAACCATTAATCAAACAAAGACGATAACTGCTGGATGTCCGGCCCCTGAGCTCTTGGCTTCCAGTAACTATGCCCCCCCCCCCCCCCCCCCCGAGCAGTTTAGTTGAATAGCCCTGCTCTAGATGCAACACGATAAAGTGCTGCACGTCAACATGGAGCCCGTTAAAACAATGAAGAAGAACCTTTTGTCTTGTGTAAAGTTTATTTCGTTTTAAGGCATCGACACATCCAGACGTGCAACAAACAATTCAGTTTTACAACTTCCTCTCTCCCCATGGAGTGAAAACTGGTTAGAAAGGTGCTTAAAGTTTAACCGATCCAAGTTAGCATTTTGACAAATAATTAAAAATGATCATTTGATCCTGGCGGGATATTAACTTTAAAATTAAAATAACTAGCCGTAAAAGGCACTGAAGTGATTATGACATTAATACAATTTAAAGCATGCTAGTACTTTTTATTAACAAATACTGACTTTAAAAATATGCAAATTAATTCTTTATAGTTTGTTGAATACTTTAGGCACGTGAAACAGACGGAGCAGATGATTAAAAAAAAAAAAAGAGAGAGACTAAAGAATGAAATTGATGCAACCTGTTCAATAAATCCATTTATTTATTAGTTTGAAAACAACTTCTTTTAGCAGCCAACCAGATTTACTCCAGTTAACTGGGAGTAGTTGTTTTTTTGTTGCATCATTTTCATTCTGTTTCTCATTGTCATGACCTACAGCAGTCGATCTGAGCATCAGTTGTTTCAGCGCGTTGCACATTAAAAGTGAGCGTGTATCAGAATTACCACGTCAGTAAATGCCTCAAAAAATGAGGAGGATACTGAAATGTAGGCGCGGTCGTTGTAAAAACGACTCAAAGGTTAGAAAGCCGTGTTTCATTCAAGGCAGTATCCAGTCACTCCTTGTTGCCACAGTCAGAGCAGAGGATGTCTCTTCCTTTGGTCACGAATCGTTTGTCGGACAGACTGAGGGAGCATCTCTTACAGTTGAAGCAGTATTCGTGCCACGAGCTGCCCTCAAAGTTCACAACGTTCACGCCTTTACCAAAACCTGGAGAGAAGAGGAGAGTTAGAAACAAACTCCATCTACGTGTTGGTCTGGAGCGTTTAAAGTCATGATGGAGCTAAACGGTTAGGCTCTGACACATTTTATACGTCGTTAAATAATGTTCCTCCTGGCCTGGGAAGTATTTCATGTACTGCTGGTTTTGAGTTGAGTGTTGTAAAACCCCATAGTTGTTTTCACTTTCTCACTATTATTCAGTTTTATGACAAATGGTGTGTTTTACAGTTTTGTGGTGGTTTTATTTATTCTACATCCTGAACGTGTAGCTGCAGTTTTCATGTTCGCCACTAGATGTCACTAAAACCTACAAGTTGGATCTTAACCAGGTTCTGCAGCTGTTCCAAGCTTTTCAGCTGTACTCATAAAATACAAGCTGCAGAGATTTATGAACCTGACTATGGCTTGTTGAAGTATACAAACATTTCTAAGAAGTTATTTAATGATCAACTTTATTATTTTTTTTAATCTATTAATGACTGCTATTTGTTTTATCTTTGTAAAGTTGAGGCTGATCTGCTGAAGACTCCTCACTTGGTGTTTCACGTCCCACCGTGGGGTCCAGACTCTAAATTAAGGCGCCACTTCTGTGCAGGACTCCATTTGCTTACTTTGATTTAGATTACCGTTTAAAATTGTTCATGTGAAGGCATTTTTGTGATGATGTTTTTTTTTTTATTATTATTATTCAAGAATTCAAGGTTCTTTATTGTTATTCGCATTGCATGTGGTACATGAGGTGGAACGAAATTGTGTACTCATGGTTCCCGTTACCACAAACAGTAGCAAAAATATAAAGTGTAAAAAGAAACAGTAAATAAGGATCTGAGATATAAACTAAGACATACGCTAAACACTAACAATGCAAAACAATACAGTGAACAACAGCAACACGTTTCTCATAGGTTCTGTTCAGCTATAGTTCACACGCTAATGTGAGTGGAGTCAGGCTTGGAGCAATAAAACTAACATAAACTGGGATTTATTCAAAACATACAACAAAAATAGAGAAACAAGGCGCCAAAAATGGTACTGTTAGCAGCGTGGTTCAGTTAGCACCATGGTACTGTTAG